TAAGAACTTGGAAATGAGCAAGGGCTGATTTTACATGGTCACCAGTCTGTTAAAAATACCTCGGTTTACAATAATCAGTAAAAGTAAGTGTTTTTAGATTCATCCTCGATTATGAGAGCTCGGCGTTTACAAGAAGCATTTACAAGAAGTATATTGCCGTTTTGAAATCAGGAGTCCGCTTCGAGCAGCCAAAGATAAAAGACACTTGCTGAGTTGTTTAACGACTGTTCATCATTGTCTTTTCCTGGGACCCCATCAGAGCTGGGTTTATGGAGAAAGTTTTGAGATTTAAAACCAGAAAATAAAGGAGGCAATTTGTTTTCTTTCGACGCTGCTATCGATGGGTGAATGGAGCCACAGTTGTAGTGATGTTGGAAACTGCCAGTATTAATTAAATATAATATTTTCATTTTTTCATTCGGCCTTCGCCGAGGGTTCACAATAGGGGTTCTCAAATCCCGCCTTCCCGCCTATTTTTTCTTCTTTATCCCGCTATCCCACCCTTTTTTATGTATGAATCCCGATCCCGCCCTAATTTTGTCGCGACTTTCTTGCTTGAATATTGAAATAGACGTTATGTAAGACTGAGCTTCACGCAATAGGCACCTTTATGTTTAAGGTTCTCAACAACACCATTAGCATTTATTTTTTTCGATTGAGAATGTTCTTTTATCCCGCCGCAGCCGAAAATAACTAAAATCTGTGGACTTGCTGATCATGGAAGGGTGTGTTAACGCATTGAAAACGCTGGCAGCGCTGTCTTCGAAGGTCCCTGATTCTAATGAGGCCTGCAACATAACGTGACTAGATGATCTTAGCGTCCTTGTGGCGTAACGATTGTTCGACCTAAGATAGGAGGGTCAATCCTCAAGGCAAAGTGCCTTGAATACATTATACGGCAAATGCTGCTTCTTGCGTTGACCAACTGGGCGCCACCCTAGCTTAAACAAATCTTGCTTAGTACGTTGCATAACATTTTTTTAAAAAAAAAAAAACAGCAGCTGTATTCGCTGAAGTTTCTCAAGACAAAACATGCAGGACTTTTATTGAAAATGAATGGGAGTTCTAAGCTCTAAGATTTGGACACTGACGAAAACGATGAAAATAGAAATACCGGAAAAAGGTGATAATGGGTAAATTTGACAAGCTTCACTTTCGTTGATACTCATAGCTGTCATACCTTAACCTGAAAGGCGGACTGTACACAAAAGAGCTATTTTTTTGTTCAGTCAAACAGTGCAAATACCGGAAAAAGGTGATAATGGGTAAATTTGACAAGCTTCACTTTCGTTGATACTCATAGCTGTCATACCTTAACCTGAAAGGCGGACTGTACACAAAAGAGCTATTTTTTTGTTCAGTCAAACAGTGCGGTCAAGACAAAACTAAATTCCCGTATCCCGCTACTTTTCCTTTACATTTCCCGCATCCCAAGCTCATAAAAAGAGGAAATCCCGCTCCCGCTCGCTATCAAAATTCCCACTTTCCGCTCCTGTCTTGAGCTTGCATCCCCCGTATCACCACAAAAAAATAGCCAAAACCCGCATCCCGCCAAACCTATTGTGGACCTTCTTAGCCTATTGCAAGAAAAAATTATCGCCGCTCTTCTTCGTCGGCTTCATCGTAGTCGTTGAGGAAATTTAAACCTCTGTTGCCTGT